GGGGCGACGACCGCAGGGATCTCCGCCGCAACGAGAGAGGCCCCGGCGGGCCCCGCGGAATCGTGGGGGGCGGCATGATGAGAGACCGGGACGGAAGAGGACCTCCCCCCAGGGGGGGCATGGCACAGAAACTCGGCTCTGGACGAGGAACCGGGCAGATGGAAGGCCGTTTCACTGGACAGCGCCGCTGAAGTCTCCACTGGGGGCAGACAGTCTTGTCAGTGGTACATTATCCATCGTGTTTGCATTCTTGTTAATTTTTTTTGGCTTTGGAATGTGACACAGCCCTTCTGATCATTTCTTTGATGTGAAAGCATCTTTTGGTTTCCAATTTAAATTGAGGTGGACGTTCTTTCCCCAATTTCACAACAGGAGTCACACTGTTAATTTATAAATGTAGACTTGGAGAATTGAGGACTGAAAAAAAGAAAAGAAAAAAAAAGAAAAGAAAAAAAGACCGGTTAACTATCTGCAACAAAAGTGAACTAAAGGACACGCCCAGTAGCTTTCAGGTCCTTTCAGTCAAAAACCCTCTGCTGCACATTTTGTGTAAGTGTTGCCGTTTCTGCCTACTACTGTTGGAAACACAAATAGTGCAATTTGTGCAATTGGAGAAGCTTGCCTTTTTTTTTTTCCTTCTTAGAACACTCGGCTCCAAACCAACTCGTGTTTACGCACTCATCAAAATGCACTAATGGGTCCTCTGAACTCATTCATACTGACAGCTGCAGGAGGCATCGGAGGGAAAGCCTTCATCCTCTTACTCAGACAGAATAGCTTGGGGAACGGTGCGGGCGTCCGCTCTGCTTGCTGTGACCAACCTCTGTACACACACAAACCTTAACGAGACTACACCTTTGTTCCAGAAGGAATCCATTTAGCTGTAAACTAACCAGAACCCAGAGTTTCCAAGTCGTAGCCCTGAGTACGCAACGAGTTTGATAGCTCACGTCAGATTTTTCTATCTGCCCCTCTTCAGTGCAGGGATGGCTGCTCAACACACTCCTCCTTCCCCTTTCCCCTTCGAGAAGCGTTGTACAGTGAAACTTGTCTTTGAGTTCTCTGGTAATGTAATAAGCATGATGGTGCCTTCTATGAATACATCATTCCAGTCTTGCTGGTGATTTTGTACAGTATAGTGTATGAATTACTGTGCTGCAAAGCCAAGTGGCTGCAAAGCATTTAAAGAAAATAATCGGAAAATTGTATTAAAAAAAAATTGCAGTATCTTTCAATGAGTAAACGTTGCTAAAATGATCATCCACCTTGCTCTTCAATTAACAAGTTCGCCTGTGTTTTTGCAGAGGGGGGAAGGGAGGAAGAAGGCATCCAAGTAGACTCCAGGTTGTCTCTTCTTTTTAATCAATGTCAGAGTTAAAGGAAGCAGAGTTGCAATCTCTCTTGGACATGAATTGCAGAAGTCAGTCCAGAACGGTGGATGCTTCTGGCCAGCTCCTAGTGAGTAGACCTGAGCATCTTTTGTGAAGGTGAGCTTCTAAAACGGGGATACTGCAATTTTCAGAGAACTAAACAGCAGCTCTTAAGTTCTTGCATTTTCCAGTTGCACTTTTTTAAAAACTCGTACTCATGTTGCACATAACTCTCAGCTGAAGTTGGCGCTGATGTGGCTCTGGAGCGAAGGATAGCAAGGAGACCTCCTCTTCTGCAGTCTGACCGGTGGGTTTTCCAGCGGAGAGCTGTGTTCCTGGCTGATGCTGTGGAGCACATTCCTGTAACCTGCGGCTGGAGCAGATGGTACAGCTGGGCTCTGCCAGGGCACGCCGCCGGCGCCGGCTCCAAGGTGTCAGGAGCAAAGGGGGGGTGCGTCTGTGCGAAAGTGTGACCACTTGAAGCTGCTGCTGAGCACGGGAGACCTCAAATACAAAACTGGCAATTTCAAGCAAAAGCAGAGAGGGCATGCTAGCAATCTGTCTCTGGATTATGCAATCATTTGCTGGTTTCCAGTAAGCTGGAGGATTTTGCACATATTTTCTGTTACGCTAGGCAAGGTGGAGTGGCATCTGTCTGTTCTCTGCCAGACTTGAGGTCTTCTGTGTTCCATGGTAAGTCTTGCACTATTTTCATACGCTTTTTTTCCCGGGATGCATTTCTACCAGTTTGCATTTTCGTATTTCAGTTTTTTTGTTGAAGGTCTCGCAATTTCAGCTGTTACCTGGAAATCTGTAGTACTTGAACTGCTGGCCACACAACTCCACTCCTTAGGTTTGAAGCCCTCGGACAAATTGCTGTTACCAGTTAGCAATTTGCCACCAGTGTGGTTTGTGTAGCCTAGAGGTTTTTTTTCCTTCTATAGTGCTGTGGTGTTTTGCTGCCACCTAATTCATTCATATGGCAAATGGCACTGGAAATAATCAAGAACAAAAACAGAGTAGTAAAAGGAGCCACTGAGCCATTCTGCTTTTTGGCTTGCTTCTTGTTTAAATGACACGAACCCTTGGAACATCATCCAGAGAAGTTTACATGGTGATAGCTCACCTGCTGTACTGTGGACTCTTATGTGTTCTCGACCCTCTCAATAATAAATGTATCTCTTAGAGCAAAGGAAGGGATTCACTGACCATTACTGTTAGTTGCTGATTTGTGAATGGTGGGAGTATTTTGTCATTACGGTTCCATTTCAACAAACTTGGCTGACCATCTTGGCTTTAGTAGGTATTCAAGACAGTGGATTACCATCTTTATTGCTGTAACGTGTCAAGCATTATATGCTAGTAGATTCTAGTTTAATTGTTGCAGGTGGAAAGTATTTTTAAGTTTCCATTCTGAATGTGTTTTGACTAAACATACCAATAAACTACTGATGTCTGCAGCATTTATCCATGTCCCTAATTCTCTTGCATGCAGGTGCTGTGGGGCACTGTCACCCCTGGCTTACAGGAAAGCTTGTAAGAACATTGGTGCTGACCTGGCCAGTGACAGTGGGAACCCACAGTACCGCGGCCTCATGAACCTTGAAGTATTTGACTTTGGTGGCTTCTCTCACCTCAGGGTATGTGTGGCCCGGGGAGGACACAAGCTCCTCTCAGAGGTGTCCCAGGTGGCATTCCTCCACACCCTGCCAGGCTGCAGCATCCGGCTACAGGATACAGCTTCCGTGGATGTTGTGGTGGTGCTGGGAGAATTGTGAGCTGAGTTGTCTTAAAAAAATCAACTGGAATTGCTTGCTTTGCACTTTAGGCCTTCTTACTGCTTACTACTGCAGAAGTGATTGTCCCTGTTTTGTTACTTCTTGTGTTTGTTAGAAGTTACCCAAAAAGGTTGGTAAAAGGGTTATTCTCACACTGCTCATAGATGAGGTGTGGCTGAGTCATGGAATCTGGAGCTCTTCTGCTCTGGGTGAAATTCCTGGTAGCTGCTGTCTGCTGTGTCCTGCCAAGGGCATGTCTTGGCAGTAGTATTTCCTGATAAATGGCAGTTGGGAAGTGTCTGAAAAGTGGTGCAGTTGTGTGAGTTGAAACACTGGAATGAAAAACCAGGATCCTGTAGAAGCCCCAGATCTGGAGTCACCAAAAAATCCTCGGAGGAGCAGCCTCGACAGGTACAAGATCTGCTGGCACCAAAGATGCCTGGAGGAGCACAGTCCCCTGTGCCACTGCTGGGGGCCTGCAGCGTTCAGGCCTTGGGGCCTTGGCTTGTGAGGTAAATGGTGCAGACTTGTGTTCTCTGGGGCTGAGGGGGAGGGCAGGACATCATGGGATCCGAAACCAAACAGGGTCAGCCAGGGCCTGGTTTTAGTTGTGCCACAAAGTCTTGCATCTTTAAAGTTCTTCAGGAGCACCTTTTATCAGCAGCAGAGTTTATGTTTAGGCCTGTAGTGGCAGTAAAATGTGAGGAAATGCCAGAGCAGCTGAGGGATGTGACAAAGCAGCAACCTGCTCTGTGCTGCTGAGGCCTTGCCTGTTCCCATGGCAGTGCCCATGCTCAGGCCCGGTTAGAGAGTCCTGTGGTTTCACAGACACCTTTGTGGTGCATTTCATGTGGAGAAATACAGGATGGAAAAGTGATTTATTGGATAGCAGAGCACCAAGGACCAGGGGGTGCCCTGCAGCCCTCACGGCCAGCAAGTCCCAAAGTGTAGCTACACAAGTGCTGCTCTTGGCAACGTGTGGTCACCACATTTGTCCTGACGGACCAAGGACACAAACTTGGAGCTCTCGTGTCACCTCTTGGCCACTGTGACCTGCCAGCATGGAGTGCTCTGCCTGGAGTGCACGTGAGGGAGGTGAGGGGTCTGTTTGGGATACAGGGTGGGTGGTTGTTTCCATGGTCAGGACCAAGTCCACACTCTGGCTCAGGGCCCCTCAGCGAAGAGGAGAAACAAGAAGAGTGTCCCTCGCAGCACATGCAGCGAGAGCTTCCCCGGGCAGGAGGGAGCGCCTGGCCTTTCCCTGGCGCATCAGGTTCTGCTCCTCTGCTCTGCAGGCGGCACGCGGGCAGCGCTGGGCCGGGGTCGGGGACGGATGGGCTGTGCTCAGCAGGCACAGGATCGGGTGGAATTCCACAGGGAGCGCCTTCGGGACGCCCCCCGCCCGCAGAACCGGTTGGAACTCGCCAGGCGGCGTCCTCGCGACTCGCGCCGCCCGCGGCACCGCTCGGAGCCCGCCAGGGGGCGCTGCCGCCCGAGCACCGCAGATGTTACCGGTAGGCTGCAGCTCCGCCGTGGGCATGCGCAGTACGCGCCCGCGGCTCTTTTTTTCGAGCGCCGGCGGGGCCGGGCTGAGCGGGCGGGGCGGGGCCGCAGGGCCGGGCGGGCTGGGATTGGGCGGAGGCGCTCGATGCTGATTGGGCAGCGCTGCCGGCCCGCGGTATAGAAGGGCGGGCGGGGCAGGTGCGGCCGGTTGTGTGTGAGGGCTGAGGGTGCGGCCCCGCTGCTGCCCGGGCTGCGGAGGGGAGAGCGCCTTGTCCCCTGGGTTTATGGACTGGGAGAGCTGGGGGGCGTTTAGGGGCGCCTTGTGCTGGGCAGCGGGGGCCGGGTGAGCCCCTTACCTGCCGGGTGACCCCGGGGGGAGCCGTGGCAGGGCTGCGGGGCTGTTGCTCTCTGGGTGTCTCAGGGTTTGCCTCGGAATCCCAAAGCCTCTCCCCGAGCAGGGTTACGAGGCGAAGACTGGTCTCAGTTTCTTAGTGCTGCATTAATGCTTTTTGCTCGTTCTGTGTCAGTTTGCAGCCTGGCTCGTGGTTTCCACTGGTGCTGGGGAGTGGAGGCGAGTTGTGCTTCCTGCTGGGAGAGAGAAGGGCCTTGGGAAGCTGCTCCATGAGCCACAGCTGTGCCGAGCCTGGGAGTCTGTCCAGGTAAGAGCAGGGCTTATACTGCCAGTGAGGANTCCCCATCTTCCAGGAGATATACATATTAAAGTTTCAAATGCTCTTCCTAATCCTTTGTTGGCTTGAGGCTCTCCCCTGCAGGAACTCCAGGAACTCCTGGTGCCGCCTGGGCCGATGGATTGGACGCCCCAGCCCCTCCGTTCCTGCCCAGCCACTGAGTCCGTGTCGAGTGGTGGCACTGCCAGCCCTGCAGGTGAAGTGGGAAGGGCCTTTGGAGGTTTTCTGGATCACAGTTATAGGAGTTAACATGACAGAATTTTAACTGAGTGTTGAGAATTAACAAGGGCTAATCCTTTTTGCAGTGGGATGTAGCCTCGAAACTCCCCAGAGCTGAGCCAAGGGATTTAAAGGTACTAAACAAGGGAGGAGAAGAAAGAAGGAAGAAGGGAACTGAGGCAGCAGCCAAGCAGCACCAAGTGGTTGTGTAAGCAGGTGAGTTGTGTTGAGGTTCCTAAGGCAGGCACTGAGGACTTTGAGGGCTCCAGACAGAGCAGACCTGGGAAGGCCCTCAGTGAAACCCATTGAAACCTTCTAAGGGTAGGTGTGTATGGTAATAAGTGTTGGAAAATGTCCTGAATATGGAATAGGAATGCAGGGAACAAAAATTAATTGTTCTGTAATTGTGCCATATCAGCTACAGTGGTGATAGCTCTGTGTGCCCTCTGGGAGCTGATTGCCAGGGACCTGACGGGCTGGAATGATTCAAGAGCATAGTAATAAAAGAATACCTGGCTTCTAAAACTCACCAGCTGAGTCTTAGAGGTTCTTGTAAGAAATTTTAGGCAACACCTGAACCTCTAGTGTGTACTTCTGAGTTCAGTTGGAAAGACATATTCCAGGAAACAGAAATCTTTCGCATTCCAAGAAGTTGCACTTGATGAACTTCCCATCTCAGTGGATCTTCAGAGCTGATGCCCGTGGCAGGAGAAGTTCTCAGCCAGGAGGCTCTTTCCTCCTGGGCAGAAAGGCCAGTGCCCTTCCTCCCCAAGGCCCAGTACAGCAGAACTTCCAGGAGCTGCTGGTGTGGCTGCTCTTTGGGTTCTCAGCTGTGCCTGTGGGTTGGTGACATGGTGTTCCTCCCTGTGCTCCAGGGCAGCCAAAAGCCTCAGCACAGCCCCTGGGCCTTTTTGGGAGCCTGAGCTATTGCAGCACTGGGGATGGGCTTGGTTTCCTTCTCTCCTCAGAGTAAAACTGTATGGGGGATTCTCTGATCTCCCTGATTTTTGTATCCTAACTGGAACTGGGAAGAAAGTTCACCCTGTGTAATTTATCAACTGACTTGGCCGGGTTGAACCAGCAGTGCCAGGTTGTTGTAGTGTGCAGGTTATTGTTTGTGTCTGAGCTGTTTGGTGTTGATTTGCCAATGGAGGCCATGGAATGTTATGGTCCCAATATTTGGAGGAAGTGCCATGAGTTAGTTGATTTCTGCCTCGCTCCCTGATGTCTGAGTTTGGAGGTGTACCAAGAACTGGTAGTTTTTGCAGTGGGATGTTCCCTAGAAACTGCCTGGAGCTGAGCCAAGGAACTTAAAGGGACTGAGCAAGCAAAGTCAAGGAAGAATGAAGAAGGGAACTGAGGCAGCAGCCAAGCAGCACCAA